GATAGTCGACACATGTATAATGTAATAACGAGATAGTCCTTACATTTATAATGTAATAATGAGATTCCATTACAGGTATACAATGTAATAATCAGACATTAAATTGCATCATATAATAATGAGGTACACATTACATGTATAATGTAATCACCAGGTAGACATTATATGTAAATTGCGCACGGGTACATATACATCTAATTATAATTATTTATTGAGTGTTAAATTAGATACTTCGTTCTCTGGTTTTCATACACATGATTTTATAGTGTACAAAATGACAAATTTGAGATAAACACATTGAGACAAATGTATGTTAATATTGACATTAATAGCTGCCATCATGATACATAAAGATCGACACGACTTATACACTATTGACGTACACTTTTTGTACTTGTCACAAAACAGCCATCACATGTACATGGGGATATGATGTGGACAAAATCTGTTTACCTCTTCATCACTACTTCTTGTAGAACTTGTTAGCTTTAAGAATATATCAGTTGTAATAATGAAATTGCTTTTGAAATATTAATTATCATCTGACTGTACATTAACCTTGGGGTTTGTCATGTGATTATCTTGTATGATAATTTCGGTTTATTTACCTCTGTAAATTGTATTGGAACGGCATTAATATAAGCTTGTAGCTTGTTTGCCAATTCATTTGTTTCACGAATAAATATGTTTAAACCATATGATGTGGACGTCATCGCCTTATGTACTTCTACAGATGTACTTTTCAAAAGTTAACAAACACTCATTATTTTAATGAACCTAAAGCTATTCTGTCATGACTGTCACACCCTTCCAATCGTGGATGTTCTTTAACATGTTTTTAGGATTATATGTCGTCATTTCAAATAAAATATGATCCTTCTTTACGGTTCCGTCTTAAGGACAGCCGTTGTGACAAGTCCCTTAAAGACAACATCAATCATGCTTAAGAATACATATGTTGTTTACAACTCCCGATAAGTGATAAACAGGAAGCACATAAAACATAACAAATGCTCCAGTGTCCTATTAGGCTGTTCAGTGACACCAGGTCAACGTCGTTGATGTAAAAATACTTCGAGTAGTTCGAGACAAAGAATTTGGCAATACAGTGAATACATAACGAACACACTTATGAGGAACTCCTTAATAGTACGAGTTATCCTTTTTAGTCCAGGGTATATTTAGGTCGAGATGTGTATAACGAAATACGGTTATAACGAACTAGAATTAGTGATAATTTTGAGTTCGTTATAACCGTAGTGTACTACAGTTTGACCAAAGTGTACCTCGGGGTTGAGAGGAAATGAATTCATTCTGTTGAATTCATGCTTAAAACATCTTAAAGAACCACTCATGTTGTTACTATCGTTCATAACGTCAGTGTCGAATGAAATAATAAACATTACCTTAAATAGTAGTTCGAGGTGAGTGAAGATGGTTTTACGTTCCTTTTATCAACGGTAATGTGACAATAGGACACGGTATGCCAAAGCATAACGGAGAACCACTAAACAAGACGGGAAATCCGTACTACTGACTGACTGACTGAGTTTGGGTTTATGCCGCTTTTAGCAATATTCCAGCAACATCACGGCGGGGGACACCAGAAATGGTCTTCACACATTGTACCCATGTGGGGATTCGAACCCGGGTCTTCGGCGTGACGAGCCAACGCTTTAACCACTGGGCTACCCCACCGCCCGGAAATCCGTACTAACTACAATATACAGTAAAGTATGTTTATAACGAACACGCTTATGACGCACTGACGGATATAACGAACTGTAGGTCTGGTCCCAGCCACTTGCTGTATTTTTTAGAATAAATGCTATGACGAACTGCGGTTATGACGGACTGTAATTATAATGGTCCCTCACATGAGTGAGTGAGATTTACGCCGCTTTTAGAAATATTTCAGCAATATCACTGTGGGGGACACAAGTAATGGGCTGCACATACTGTACCAATGTGGGGAATCGAACCCGGTTGTTCGACGTGACGAGCGAACGTTTTAACCACTAGGCTACCCCACCGCCCGATTTCGTAATAACCGTAGTTACATGTTAACAATATAAAATTAACAAACTCCCAGATTGTTGTTTGTTACATTTTATCTTCCTCACGAATGGACTTCTTTTGTAAAGAATCCTTTATGCGATGTTAAAGAGGTGTCTGATTCAGAATAATTGCCCTGTGTGTATGTGTGTTTGCGTAATCTTGTTAAGCTCTACGCATGAGCATTCGAGGGAGTCCGCATGCAGTAGCGAGTGTGCGTGTGGCATGTGTGCGTGTGCGTGTGTGCACGAGCGTGCTTGCTGCGTATGTGACTGTACGCGTATGCTTTTTAGCATTTTTGAGCACTCAACACAGTCACGGGTTGGAACAGAGGTTTGGTTTGGTGAGGCACGGTGAAGGTTTGGCTTCTCATCAGACAGCGATAATTTATGCCCCTCAGAAACCGGCCCATATTTTAAAAACACAAAGGTTTCATTTGTTCACGAGGCACTATTTATAACGAGATAATATCAGTAGATGCAAGAATTTCAGTCTCGTAAAGACTGAGACAAAAGTGCGTGTAAATCCGAGAGGTGATGTATGGAGGTGTCAGGTCGCACCTTAGTTAGATGTTGTGTACTGACTCCTACAGACACGGTAGTGCTTTATTGTTACCTGCCCTAGTGTCCAGCATACTGATGGAATAAGCAAGGTGATAGTACAGGTACTTGTCACATCACCGGGGACATTTCCATTCTGGTCACGTGTCTGTTCTTGTAGTGTTGATCGCGTAATGATGTGCCTGTGTGCGCGCCTCCCCCCCCCCTTTCTCTCTTTCTCTCGCTCTCTTTCTTTTTTCTCTCTCTCTCTCTCTCCTTCTCTCTCTCTCTCTCTTGTGCATGTGTCTATTCATATGCGTGTGTATAACGGTGTACGTTGTGCCTGTCTGTTCACATGCGTGTGTATAACGATGTACGTTGTGCGTGTGTCTGTTCATATGCGTGTGTATAAAGGTGTGCGTTGTGTCTGTGTCTGTTCATATGCGTGTGTATAAAGATGTACGTTGTGCCTGTGTCTGTTTATATGCGTGTGTATAACGGTGTACGTTGTGCGTGTGTCTGTTCATAGGCGTGTGTATAAAGGTGTACGTTGTGGGTGTGTCTGTTTATATGCGTGTGTATAAAGGTGTACGTTGTGCCTGTGTCTGTTTATATGCGTGTGTATAACGGTGTACGTTGTGTGTCTGTTTATATGCGTGTATAAAGTCTACGTTGTGCCTGTGTCTGTTCATATGCGTGTGTATAAAGGTGTACGTTGTGGGTGTGTCTGTTTATATGCGTGTGTATAAAGGTGTACGTTGTGCCTGTGTCTGTTTATATGCGTGTGTATAACGGTGTACGTTGTGGGTGTGTCTGTTCATATGCGTGTGTATAACGGTGTACGTTGTGCCTGTGTCTGTTCATATGCGTGTGCGTGTGGATACCGGTGTATATGTGCCTGATGTCTGTGTATGTGCATGTGTCTCTGCATGGACGTGTATAATGGTATGCACGTACGTGTGTGTGTCAGTGCGTGTGTTTGTAACGGTGTGCGTGTGGGCGGCAAATCGCCTACCTGCATGTCTCCTTGACATATGCCTGTGTATAAAGGTGTCCGTGAGTCTGTGCATTTTCGTATGTAAAATGGTGTGCGTTTAATTTGTGTATAGATATCTTTCTGTCTATCTATTTATCTATCTGTGTGTCTCCTTGTGTGTGTCCTTGTGTGTCTGTACGTGCGCGCTCCTTTCCGTGTGTGCTCCTTTCTATCTAACTATCCTTTCCGTGTGTGACCCTCGCCGACACTACAAGCGTACCATTCGTAATGACACGGGAGAGATAACGGGAAGGTGATGCTTAAATCATAAAAACCGACGTGGACAGCTGTATATCTGTTTGACAGACGGTGTGTCCAATGTTCAGGTATGCGTGACGATGAATATAAGAACCTGTGACAGTAAACGACAAAACTCCAAGCCTGGTCAGGGTGTCCGGTGGACGGGGTATACATTTATATATACTCATGGAAACGAATAAGGGAACACCTGAAAGTACAAAGTGACTGCACCAATATACATGAATTTCGAAAAACATCCATCAAAAGCAAAAAAAACAGTGTAGTTCGTGTGTTAAGGCTAATGATTCACATGTTGTGTGTTTGGTATATATCATACCGACCACAGATTTCAAGTTTACATTATGGGTTTTCAAAAAATATTTTCGAAATTACGGGTGTAAAGTTTCTTTTGTACGTCAGTTTATAAACATTTGCTTAAATCTAATCCTCTTTGAAATTGTCTGGCAAAACATACATGTGCTCTGTAATAAAGTGACACACTCATATTGAGCGAGTAATGAAGATGTCCTAAGGCAAGCTCAACGGGGATTTATACCTTGCGTCGTGGAGTATAAAGTCAAAGTTTAACCTTTTGTTTCAACTTTGAAGCAGATGTGGTTGATATGATTCAGGGACATTTATCAACATTAGAAGCATTTTAAGTGTAGATATCTCCTAAACACATGGTGCAAAATATATAAAATTACGGAGGATTCACACTTAACATTTTTAGGATGAATATAACCACGACTTTCACGCCTATGATTTATGTACCTTCTCAAACTTCACTTCTAACTGAATATAAATACGTATGAATTTAAATACACAGCGCTAATTAAACCATAATAAATACATCAAAGATACATGATTGTCTCTAGGCTTCCAATTATCCTCCATCTAGAAAAGCTCATTACCTCTTACAGAGGAAGGTCATCATTTCGCCAATAAAAGTGTCACACTGTTTTTTGTCCACGTCTCCTGTCAGCCTTAAAAAAACTGTGCATCGTTGCTTCAACACATTAAACAACGAATCGTAGTCAGCGTTCAAGAAAGAGGAAGTTAAAAAAATATGCATGCATTTAAAGTATTGATGCATTCGCTGGCGCTGTCAGATTAAATGGGATAGTGACGTCAAGCTGAATAACTGGTTTGCAACTGGCGTGCGCCAAGGAGGATTTCTAAATGCGGCACATTTTACATAGATATGTAGCCACGAAGAAAGCAGTACATTAGAATTCAGAGGACGCGTGTGTTACACGGGACTACATGGTCCGTGAGTTACCTTTGGCAGAGACGTATGGTGGGTCACCTCAAGTTAACAAGAAGGATGTTTATGCATTTCAGAGGATATACACGACACAATTGTGGACATGTGCCGCCGGGGATTTGAATATTTCACAAAGTACATAATTATACAAGATGGAAATACCTCGTTGGATTCGTTTCTTTAGTGATGAGGATTTTCGAGATTACCAGCAACAAGCAAGGATGTACAGGGGTAAGGTAAGCGAGGGTATTTTACTTTCAGATCAAGGTATTTACTGACCAGATATTCCAACTTTGTGAGGCGTAACTTATGTGACAGCGGTTTGGTTTTTTTAATGTCAAATATTCATAATGTTAAGAAGAAGAAATGAAATAATTTCACAGGCAGCGCAATTAATTGTGCACGAATAATGCACGGGGACGTTGGAGGGTGTGACGTGTTTATGTCACTATGCCACTGGTCTGCACAGTGATAGACCTCACTGCTGCCGTCTTCCATTGTTGCCGTCTACCGCATTTCTGACGGTATGCATTGCAATATCCGGTACAGTACCTACCTACCTACCAAAATACATGCATGCATGCATCCAACCATGCATGTATGGATGCATCCATGCATGCATGCATACATACATACATACATACATGCATACATACATACATACATACATACATACATACATACATACATACATACATACATACATACATACATACATACATACATACATACATACATACATACATACATACATACATACATACATCGAAGGTGCCTACTTACATACCTACGTTTCTTTCAACATATTCTAACTCCTCGCCTATCTATCTACCTACCAACCAACCCCAGCCACCTATCCAACACACCTAACAAACTAGGTCGCCGTGATATTGCTGGGATATTGCTAAAAGCGCCGTGAAACCAAACTCACTCACTCAATCACTTGGTCGCCTACGACCTGCATACTTTGATCCATGTCTTGTCTATTTCCTGTTTATAGTCACCATATGACTGCAATACTGTCGATGTCACTAAATTTTAACTCACTCACTCACTCTATGTTCTGTTGACGTAAATACATGTCTACCTATCAAATCTATCGCATGCTTACTTAACGCACGATCTAGATTTGTCAGGCGATGGAGGAAGACTGCAGTGAGTATCAGCTAAGTGCCATCACTTCTTTGGGGGAGTATTCCAACACACCAACTCAGGCAGAGTACACTTCGTCCTGCACAGCGCCCCTCAAGGACATGAGAAATGAAGCACAGCCTACAGTCAACAGGAGATGGGGTCACCTGGATCAGGGGCATGAACGCATCTCCATGACACACAAAGCTGAAAGACCTGGGCACCAGTCAAATTCCAAAGGAGGGCCCGAAAGCAGGACACCTTCCAAGAAGGTTTTGGCACGTGAAAGCCACTCTGCTCCCCACAAGGAACGTCGAAGTGAACGTCGAAGAGAACGTCGAACAACGTCATTCAAAGAGCGGACACAAGAACGTCACCAGATTCCATACATAGAAGGGGGAAATGAACGTCGTTCAACGCCCAAGACGGGAGGACATGATCGTCACCCATCGTCCCTCAAATTGGGCGGACAAAAACGTCATCTAACGACCTTGACACTGAACAAGGGAGATAAATCAAATGGCCAGGAATTGGACCATAACTCGAACGAGACGTCAGGCAACTCCACCTTAGAGCTTATCAACTTTAAAAACCCAAAACGAAATCCAGTAGTGCTGTCTTGCCTAATCCTACTCGTCGTGTTGATCCTTGGTGCGACAGTACTGGTCATATATTTTATCCTGAATCAAAAACAAGGTAACATATTTCATTTGCAAAACAGTGTAAAATGCAATTAACAGAAAGATTACAAAGACCGTATTCTGTAGCAAACGCTTAATTTGTTCATAGGAGTCACCTTTTCACCCCCAAAACCTTTTCTTTTCTTCACATTTTTCTTCTTTTTCGTCTTTCTTTCGTTCTCATCTTTTCTTCGTTTTGTTTTCTTTCGCTCTTTCCTTCTATCTTTTCTGTTCTGTTTCTCCCCACCTTTCATTCCTTTTCCTTCTTTCTTGACTTCTTTCTCAAATGTCCTTATTTATTTCTTTACTCATCTCTTAGTTCTTTCTTTCCCATATTTTTATATTTTTTTCGGGGCGGCGGGGTAGCATAGTGGTTAAAGCGTTCGCTTGTCACGCCGAAGACCCGGGTTCGATTCCCCACATGGGTACAATGTGTGAAGCCCATTTCTGGTGTCTCCCGCCGTGATATTGCTGTAATATTGCTAAAGCGGCGTAAAATCATACTCACTTACTCATTATATTTTTTTCTTATTTTCTATCTCATTTCCTTCATATTTATTTCTCCTCATCTTTCTTTCTTTGCTTTCATTTCCTCTTCCTTTACTCCTTTCTTTTTCAAACCCTTTTGATGAAATAATCTAAAGTGGCTACAGAGTGTACATATAATGCATACATTATTATTTTTCATTTATCAAACAACCTTTGTATATGAAGCCATATCCTGAAACGTTTGGCCCGTCATTCGGTCTGTTCCAGTCGCTTGTTGAGATATATTTGACAATTTACACGGAAATCCAGCATTACGAAGCTGTTGTCGTAAACTAGATATTTTTTTATCAGGAATGAATCACAGGGAAGCAAGTCTTTTTTGTCAATCTAATCCGTATTAGGGAAGTATGAATCATATCTATAAGTATATGACATATATGCATAGCTTCTGACATGCTGTCTATCACATTCCATGGATGAAAATGAGTCATTAATTTAAAAGCTTGTCATAAGCTACATACCCAAAATAACGTTTCGGAACATTAGTTCGGAGACTAATAATTTTCTTCAAAAGAACAATTTCTGGTACTTTTCTAACAAATACACAAGTGACTGTTATCACACGACGAACAGCTATATTTCCATGATTGGAAGACCATATAAAGAATATTTTCTTTTCAAAAACACTTTTTTCATTTTTATTTTTTTCGAGTTGATTTAGTTGGATTGTATGAGTTTGCACTGTATTACGCTCGTGTTGGGGTTTCTTCAAATTGTTTAAGTGAGGTTTATATATGCTGAGGGAAAAAAATAAGGCAACATATGAACGCACAAGTGTTCCTTTTTTTTTCCAGGTTTCTTCACAAGCTATACGATTCAAAACTTGTGAAGAAACTTTGGAAAAGAAGGAACACTTGTACTTTTATGTGATCCGTTATTTTTTTCCCTCAGTAGATAATGATTAGTGTTTCAACTTGTAACGTGTCTTGAAGTAATCTTGGCTCCAATGCGTTATTAGAAACCAGACGTCTTTGTGCAGTTGGCCGCCTCCGTGGTGTAGTGGTTAGAGCGTCCGCCCGGAGAGCGGAAGGTCGCGGGCTCGATCCCTGACCGCGTCATACCAAAAGACGTTAAAATATGGCACTTGTTGGTCCCTGCCTGGCGCTCGGCATTAATGGGTACAACAAGGACTGGTCGGCTCGGAGTCAGTATAATGTGTCTGAGTGGAGTATTCATGCTTCACTGCGGCATGGTATCTCAGTGGGCTAGCACTATAAAACCAGCTTAAGTCTGGGCTAGTACAAGCAGCCGCACATACACATACACATGCATGCACGTCGTCATATGAGCGAAATATTCTCAAGCACGACGTTAAACCCAATTTCACCTCACCTCACCTCACCTCACCTCACCTCACCTCACCTCACCTCACCTCACCTCACCTTTGTGCAGTTAATATGTAAGTTATTAAATGTGGGATTAAAACAATTTTTAATTTCGAAATGAAAATAGAATTTCTACAAATGTTCCTCCGTTGTCACCAGGACTACCACAAGTGCCATCTGAAGTTGAGAAGTTCAAAGGAATGCGTAAGTGTACATTACGATATCCATTTCTCACGTAAACTGTCGAGCTCCAGAAAGTGATGTGTAAAACTGAACCAAATAAGACGCCATCATGTCATAGTAATGTGATGGTTATTATATCATAGTTGTGTTGTGTGTTGTGTTGAGGTATGTATGTATACTATTCCAAAAAAGAAACGCACTAACCCAGAAATCTGTTGCAAAAATATTGTATTTTCAAACATGTATAACTCGTCCATATTTAGACTTTAGTACATGAATATTTACATCAGTTTAGAAGAAGGAAATGCCTATACAGCCAAGTGGATAATTTTAGATAACGGAGACCCTGAGCGCGATGGTGACGACGTAGCACGGTACCGACGTCGGGTCTCCTGGCTCTCAGTCCAATCTCTCTCAACCTGTTCCGTACAGTTTGACCGGATATCTTCCGAAGTCCAGGCACCCTGGCTGCTGTGCTCTCACCCATGGCAGTACGATCGCGCAAATGTAGTACCCGGATGTACCGATCTTGGGCTGCAGTGGACTCGAGGTCTGCCTGTACGGGGACGGTCATTTGTTATACCTGTTTGGTTGTAACAAGCTGCAAGCCGTGATATCGTGCTCAGACTAACATTCAGACGCCTGGCTACAGAAAATTGGTGATCTCCAGCGTGCATTCTTTCAATGGCGATGTTAAGTGTCGCAGCGTCAAGACGTGGCGTAGTAATTTGACCTTGAAACGCCTATGCGTTTCTTTATTTGGATAGTATATGTATGTATGTATGTATGTATGTATGTATGTATGTATGTATGTATGTATGTATGTATGTATGTATGTATGTATGTATGTATGTATGTACGTACGTATGTACGTACGTACGTACGTGTGTATGTATGTATGTATGTATGTGGGTGTGTGGGTAGGTGTATGTACTGTGTCTAGAGTTTCGAATCGTACATGTTACATATGTACAGTTTACTCTATACTTATACTGAAATATATCTTTTCGTTGGCTGTCTTCCCTGTTTTAGCTGCTGTAACGGCAACTGTCAGACTGAAGATTCTCAACAAGTCATACAAGCCATCTATGAACCAATCTATCTCTGTAGAGTTCAAGTCCATAGCAGAGCCATTCGCCACAGAGGTAAAATCTCGCCCTTTCTATGCTCATGCCAATAATGGTTGTCACCCCTTCAATTTTTTTAATTGGAGAGGGGTGTGGGTGGGGAGTGTGAGGTGTGTGGGGGTTGGGGTGGGGAAGGGAGTGACAACCATTATTGGCATGAGTATAAATAGATTTGTTACGTGGTTGTTGTCGAGGTTGCAGTCGTTCACAGTAGCATCATTCCGGACCAGCAACATATCTTAACGACGTGCCTTCCTACTGTGAACGTGGGCTTTTGTGATGTAAGTTTCCAGATAGTGGTGTTTCTGGATTAACGGGGATCGCGCTAAGGAGATTTCGCTGAATGTGATTCGACAGTTTGGGTTTATTTTCTCAACAACATTCCATGACGGCGGTCTGTATGATCGACTCGGGAACACGTATTTCCAATGACTGATATCATGAGCATCTGTCTACGCAGCTGGGTCACGATGACATGTATTTGTTGTATACAGGCCCTGTATACAACATGTATTTGTTGTACACAGGCATACAACATGTATTTGTTGTATACAGGCCCTGTATACAACATGGATTGACCAATCATTGGGTGCTGAAGACCCATTCTAATACAGATCACGGTATGCAAGTATGGACACAGTAGGGTGGTGACGTCAGTGCGCTGTGTGGTGAAGTGATATTGAAATTCCATACTGAAACCCATGCTGGGTCTCCTTTGGCAAGTACCCGTGAACATCCGGGTTAGAATTGGTGTTCAGCAATGTCTGCTTGTCGTAAGAGGCGACTAACGGGATTAGGTGGTCAAACCCTCTCCAAATGGCGTGGATCGATGCTCACGATGTCAATCACTGAATTGTCTGGCCCAGATTCAATTATATACAGACCGCCGTCATATAACTGGAACATTGCTGATCATACAAACAAACAAACAAACAAACAAACAAACCTTTGAAGAGTGAATGGATACGAGCAAGTATAACGTTATCTTCATGACGCGGCTAGGCAGAGTTCTAATCCCCATTGGGACCTGATGATAGAAAATGCTGAAACACTCCGAGCCATCGTGTAAATAATGCATCGCTTTTGATCATGCTTTAAAAAGATGGTTAAGGCGCACCATAAAAGTAAACATTATTACATTCTTAAAAGAAAAAGATAATCCACCACAGATACTGAACATTTCCTATTCTTTTGTCTAAAATAAATAATTTAGCCTCAGTTTGTAATATGTATAATTGCTGCTTAAAGTGAGATCAAACTCACTCACCCACAACATAACTACCTAGCCGAACCGCCATTTTGTTTCGATTTACTGTCACACCTTTTTTTTTTTCTGTGTGTGTGTCGCATACTCTCTCTCTTTCCTTCTTTCTCTCTCTCTCTCTTTTTCTCTCTCTCTCTCTCTCTCTCTCTCTCTCTCTCTCTCTCTCTATATATATATATATATATATATATATATACGCGCAAAATGTCCAAAATAGTACAGGTGTTCAGTCATAAATATTACATAGATAAATATTACATAGATCTCCCTGAAGAGTAAAGAACGAAACATGTTGGAGAAAAAGGCATTCTGTTTTTATTTATCTATGTAATATATATATATGTGAGTGTGTGTGTGAGTGTGTGTGTGTGAGTGTGTGTGTGTGTGTGTGTGTGTGTGTGTGTGTGTGTGTGTGTGTGTGTGTGTGTGTGTGTGTGTGTGTGTGTGTGTGTGTGTGTGTGTGTGTGTAATTCTTATAAAAATAGGGCGCCTTTGGGTAATACAAGGAGATTCAAAGTTAAGGTACTTTGTCGTCATGTACCTCAACAGTCAAGTCCTACGATTTTTGTCACCATTGATTTCATTCGAAGAAGCAGTAAAATCTCTAATTTGCAAGTGAACATGAATGACAGTGACTGAGTGAGTCAGTGAGTCAGTGAGTTTAGTTTTACTTCCAGCTGCATGGCGGCGGAATATCACAGTGAAAATTGTTGAAAGCAGTCTGATGTCTGAAAGATGTCTGCCTTTGATAAAAATCTGTGATGACACTGTGGATTAATGAGTGGATCTTTTCATACACTGATTCATACACACGATCCTCGAGAACCAATTGTACAATATAATTACGAAAAATCACTTAGCAAAGCATTATAAGCTTAGTAATTTGGTTTACGTAGTATTGCTGATTTTGATTGCTTGTTATTTTTTAACAGTCCGTGGTCGGAAAACTGATTAAAAATAAATATTTTTTCATGTACAAGTCCTTTCTCAAATTCTTTTTAATATGTATAGACCTAATAAAAAGAGCGTGTTTTAAAACGAGTCAAATGGATTGCTTCTTTCATATTCGATCAAACTTCAAGTGGTATCTGATTTTCATTACTGAACAGACCAATGCTTGTCGTAAGAGGCGACTTACGGGATCGGTGGTCAGGGTCGCTGACTTAGTTAACGCAGGTCATAGTATCCCAAATATGTAGATCGATGCTCAAATGCTGATCACTGGATTGTCTGGTGCAGACTCGATTTTTTTACAGACCGCCGCCATATTGGTGGAATATTGTTGAGTGCGACACTAAACAACAAACAAACAAACAAATAAACAAACATTAGTGAACTAATAACGTATGATACATTTGGGATGAAACATTCTCAGTAAAGTACAGATTCTAAAAAGTACAGATTCTACAAAAAAATAAGAATGATGGATGAGTGGGTTAGACCTCTGACTTTGTGTTTGTTTCTCCATTCTATGACATCCTATACATGTAGATTTGACCCATTATCTGTCACAGCTTCGATTCACAAATATTCACATATATCCTTCTCACCTGCCACATACCTGAACTAAACTCCCGAGACTGGGATTTTTTGAATTCCAAACCACGCACGAAATTTGTCCTCGGGCTAGACAAAGGCGTCAAAGCCCCTTCCATATGCATAAGAAAGCTCTGCAGAATGCAAGTATGATTGTAAGACTATTGTTCCGACTATATTGTGAACCTGTTTACGAATCACTGTCAAACTGAGATGACACCAGGTGTTGGCGAAACAGTGAACATAACCTGCCACCCGAGATACTCGTCAAAAACACATGAAAAGGCAAGTCAAGTTTACAATTGAAAAAAAATGTGGTTCAAGTCAAAAATGGGAATTGTTGCGGACGTCATCTTGTAACTGACGCGTTAAACGCGGAAATGTCTGAACACCATAAAACTTTCTGAAAAAGGAAAACTACTGAAGCCTTGTAACGTTGATCAGAACATTTATTGTCAAGAATCACACGACGCTCCTTGAAATCCCCGCGTAAAGAACATTCTCCATCGTTAACTGGTGTCTCCGATTTTCATGTGGTCCATACATATTGCTTCCTTTCTGATGTCAAGAGTTGGCATTCCTTAACATTGGCGGATCCAGGGTAGGGTGGGGTGGGGTGGGGGTTACTTAAGACCATATTGAAGATTGTTTTTGCGTTGGTGGAGCTAATGGCAGGCTCAGAAAGTGAACACCCCCCTTTCAAAATTTCTCGATCCGCCCATGCTTAACACGGGTGTGTTATGTATATTATATGCTTGTTAAGCACTGACTTATATTATCATCTGTCATCACTGTAGAAGAGGGTCGGTCAAAAAGTACGTAGCCTAACTATATTCTCGATGTCCAATGTTTGAAAAGCTTCCATTTTAGTTTGTAGGAATCATTAGCAAAGTCGTAAAAACAATTTCACATATGTGGGTAATGTGATTAACGAGATATTAGTCGTCACAACACATTGGGGTATAATATTTCTAGAAAAAATGCAGAAAATGAAAAACGATCCGTCATTTAGTACCTCTTGGATAATGGTATGCCCTCAGATAATGTCATATAAAATATGTTAGTATAGTATTGGATGACTTCCCGTCATAATCAACATTCAAAGATTTGGATTGCTTGATTTATGTTTAGACAGGGCTGTTTTTTTAAGGACACACCCATTTTAGTCTTTCAAAAATGGTGTCCAGATATTCAAGCTGGCCCTGTTTACAATATACTGAGAGTTGACACTTGTGTGACCATTCAGTATTTACTTTGAACCTTTAGCATCATGTGTGAAAAGCCGGTTAGTGAAAACATTAGAATAAGTTATGTCCTTATGAATTCGTCATCTGAACGGGGGTGGGTAGTGTCTCCAAAACAAGCTGTTTCAGTAAACATGAAAGGGGAATCACTTTAACAAGCGATTGTACTTTCAAATTGCTTTTTTATGCACTTTAATATCTAAGTTTGATTCTAGAGGACGTCTACCTATCTCAAACACACAAAATGTTTCTTGCATATTTTGTTACCTGAAGTTTGTGGTGCATTTATTGCAGATTTTGCGCTTTTGGGGGGTACCAAGATAAAATTTCAAACAAAATGGGGATCGTAAGGCTGGAACGTAGCAAAACCAATTTGCTTGAGGTTGACAGATAATATGTAGAAAAATAAAACATAAAAACAGCTGCATTTGTATCATTTACTATGTCAGGCTCACTACTTTTTGACTGTCCCTCGTATCTGAAAGGAAGGTCACCTATATCAGTCTGTTTTGAAACCTTCAGCAACAACGTTTGAAATTCCACATACATTTACACTGTGTGTTTGCATGTTTGACCATTGGTATATTTAATAAAATAAATCAGTGATTATAACGAGGTTGGTCCAGTTGAAAATTAAAAAAGTTCAACAAAACTGGTGAAGATGGAGTTGAAGTCCTCCGTAAAATGTGTCGGGATTTTAGTGACGGAATTTGAAAAGATACTGTCTATTGTAACCATCTTGTTTTTTCAGCTCGACAAAATCTTCCTACTTTCCTCTCTGGAAGAAGCCTATTACGGAGCCAGAGTGCAGAGATTAAAGTGGGTGTTACAAGAAACAAACGAATCACAAAACAGTTGTAAATGTGAATGAATGCAATTTTGAGGCCAGATTAGAGTTCATAATCATTACATCAACATATTTATACCTAACACAATAAAACAAAATGAAACAAAAACAATCAGAAACCGAAAAAAACCCCATGCCAATCAAATATAGTCTTGAAAAAATATAATCAGATATTGTTGCTCTATTAAATAAACACGTAACATATTATGATAACAGTAATGACACACATTTGCTTTTCATGCGGAGATAAAGGATTTCCATAAAAATGTAGCAGCATATTTTATAGAACGGAATACGAGACATGTCACTTACGGCCATATGGTGCACATGACAACTGGCTGATTAGGGACCGTTCATAATTTATGGCTAGGGTTTTGATGATGATATAATCATGAACATTGTTGACAACTATTAAATATACACTTTATGTATAAGTAAGTGACCACTGTGTATGTACAAAATCAATGACCCCCTGCTTTTCACGTTTTAAGCATGAATTTTTTTCCATCAAAATTGTAGCGGCTACCTATTTTAGAACAAAATGGGTGATACACCACCACCCCATTTAAAATCATCATCACCCCCTAGCACATAAACTATGAACGGTCCCTTAGAGTCATTGCCCTCTGGTTCCAGAGGAGTGGACCAATCGCCATAGGCACAGTAACTCGCAGCGCTGGGTTGTGTCCATTTGGCACGCCAGGAACCTAAGATTGAGGATTCGAATTCCGATTACATTTCCGAGTTAGTTAGGTAAAATACCATGCTGTTGGGTTTGACTCACTCACTCACTCACTCACTCACTCACTCACTCACTCACTCACTCACTCACTCACTCACTCACTCACTCACTCCTCACTCACTCACTCCTCTCACTCACTCACTCCTCCTCACTCCTCACTCACTCACTCACTCACTCACTCACTCACTCACTCACTCACTCACTCACTCACTCACTCACTCACTCACTCACTCACTCACTCACTCACTCACTCACTCACTCACTCACTCACTCACTCTACTTTCAGTCCAGGGAGTATCCGGACTGACACAGATCTTCTCCTGCTGGACACAGGACTTGTAAAGGATGCTGAGATGATCCGGCGCACCATCACCGACTCAGCGAAGACAGTCACATACCGCGAGGTGCCGGCCGTTGCTATTGGGGATTTCATCGTGTGCGCAGACTGCATCACCGTGGACATGCACAACATCATTCTAGACGTGCTGCCACCAAAGCCTCGATATCCAAATACCAGAGGTGAGAACTGCTTGATCACGTTTCTCTAACGTTTAGATGCCTGTAGGGTTAAGCGACCGACCATTTACTCCAGGAGGAGTGAGTGAGTGAGTGAGTGTGTTGAGCTGAGTTTAACGCTGCTTTTAGCAATATTCCAGCAATATGACATATTGTACCCAACTGAGGAATCGATTTACAGGAATACTATATATAAAGACATTGCTATCAGCAGCAAGTTTTTACAAAAAATAAGAATTATTAACCAATATCCTGCATAAATTGTACTGCTGCTATGAAAACTAATACATGGACGATATATACTGAGGGAAACAAATAAGGGAACACCACTTCATGGCAGTGTTCCTTTATTTGTTTCTCTCAGTATAGTATTAGATGCCGATGTTGGAGATCAAATTCAAACATCGGCTAAAATCACCCCAGAGTGAGTGAGGCTGAAACCGCCTTTAGGAAGCGACACGTGTCATGTGTCAGTCGTCATGAACAGGCACGATTTTATAAAACTCTTTTTTAAAACTTATGCATAAATCAGTCAGGATATTTATCAATGTTATGAAAGCTTACAGTATGTGATCATCATGTTTTCTGTACACGGGCTGCGTATTTCGTTGTGTCCTGACCTGTGAAGATCCGGGTTAGAATGAACCTTCAGCAACCAATGCTTGTCGTAAGAGGCGACTAACGGGATCGGGTGGTCAGGCTCGCTGGCTTGGTTGACACATGTCATTCGTTCCCAATTGCGCAGATCGATGATCATGCTGTTGATCACTTGATTGTCTGGTCCAGACTCGATTATTTACAGACCGCCGCCATATAGCTGGAATAGTGCTGAGTGTGGCATAAAACTAAACTAACTCACTCACCCGTTGTGTCCTGCCTTTTAGGTTGGAGTCCCTATCCGCATCGAATATGCTGTTCAACACAATTATGTCCCTGAGTTTCAGAAACATCAGAAACAACGGGTAGTTCACAACCTCCAAAAAACTTTGGTGATGTACTCTGATCAAGCAAACTAAATCAATCATTATATTTTCGCCATATAATATTAACTATGACATACCAAGAAATACTTAGTCAAGACCTTTCATAGTCTCCACGAAAGATGCATACACTGGTGCTGCCATTTTATCACGCGTGTGAATGCACCAACCCAACACTTGATAATAACCCTGTACGCATGTATGCATATCGTCCCATGTTTAGGACGCACTTTTGCGGTGTTAAGAAAGTACGGTAAAAATATTTACTGGTAAAATGACACCCTATTGCTTTCATTGCTTGCCAAACGAAACAAGCTCACAAACCTTGATGAAAATCTAAGACCTTATGCATATGGGTTAATCCAAGTTCTGCAGCTGTGGTTTAAAATAAACCCGGGAAAAAACAACAGCATACTCTTTAAAACCTAATTTGAACAAATCTTAATCTGACTGAAAACAGTCGCCAAAAAACTGAAACCCGAGATACAATACACAATTATGATTGCGATTTCAATGCATCCCTTTTAATAAACATTTATCATTTTTTTTATTTTTCGCATAAATGTAATTCTGTAATTTCATTTACCAAAGACCTTACAGAATTACGTCAGAAAGAAATTTTGTCTTTGATACTAACCATTCCAATTGTCCTTCTGTGAAACGATCCGGGTAACGTCACAGCATATTTTTTACACAGGTTTAACACAATTCCTGCTTAGTCCGTTCCCTATTGGCAATGTCACGCGATACAGTAATTCCTCCAAACAGATGGTCTCCTGGCAATATTTGACCTACATTTGCGTGTTTGATGTGAAGCGAGGATTTCTTTCCGCGATCTATTTTGATTGATCTATTTCTATTAAAGGGAAAGATTTTTTACGAATTTCCTACTGCTTTGGTTGTCATAGAAGTGAACTGATTTGGGAAATGACAAGAAAGAAATGAACTAAAATACAGAACTAGGGCATGTAGCTCCTAGTAGAAACTAGGACAAAAGACAATACGTGAAACAGATTAGATCATGCAAAAGGAGATATATAAATAACTGCAACGCATACTTTCTACTGCAACAATGCTAAAAAATATGGACATGCCATCAGTATGGAATCCTGGAAGGGACATTGTCGCGTTATCGACCCTTCAAAAACAAGCAGGTGTCAAATTTAGGAAAGTGCGACATTTGTTGCATTGTTACAGTGTCGCATTGTCGCATTAAAAAATATTGTTTTATTCAACCAAAGGACGATTATGCGACAATGTCCCTTTTGGGATTCCATACCCAGGTGACGTGTGCAATCGTAAGCACGAGTATTATACAACTTGGTCAATCTCTGGGGTCTCTAAGGGGGTGGGGTGGGTGGGGTAGGGGATGGGGGGTGTAGGGTTGTGTCGTGGGGTAGCCTAGTGGTTAAAGCGGTATCTCGTCACGTTGAAGACCCGGGTTCGATTCCCCGTACAATGTTTGAAGCCCATTTCTGCTGTCCCCCGCCGTGATATTGCTGGAATATTGCTGAAAGCGGCGTAAAAATAAATCCACTCACTCACTGGGTCTCTAGGCTATTTATACAATGCCCTGTTCGTCCCGTACAGTGGATTATACATATCCTGGAATGAATTCCAGGACTCTTCGATCCAAGAACCAGCTCCTGTTTACAGTCCCCAGAGGACCCGCTTAGATTCATTAGCAAGCGATCTTTCCGACATGCAGCTCCGTGTCTGTGGAATTCTCAACCTGTCAGCATTAAACTTTCTGATTCTCTGACAACTGTTAAATCTAGCTTGAAAATCCGCCATGAATATTTTGTATATCATCCTAGGATTTTATTGTTGGATATGCACAGGCGCATTATAAATATCCATTGATTTGTTTATTATTATCATTTATTAATTACTTTGTTCATAATTTCATGTATAGTGAGAACGTTTGGCTTTGACGTCGATGTGAACAGTATTGTATTTCTTCCATGATAAAGGTAGCCATTGACAGATGCCTAAGGGCTTGAAGACCGAAAGTAATGCGTGACCCAATGCGTCACATTAGAATTCCCTTTCTGCACGCCATACCTTTGGTACAAATACCATAGGGCATGTAGCGAGTGTTCATCAGGTTTTATTTATTTTCTGTGTTTTTTTTCACAGTGCCGACAACAGGATCCAACATTTCTGCCGCAAACACTACACCTGAAAAACGTAATGTTTTGTTTATTTCCCTTTTAAATATTCCCCAACCAAATGTTTTCAAGTGATTTCATTCTCTTCTACAAGACTTGAAAGCGATCCATGTGCGTGTGGGGGCGGTGGGGTAGCCTAGTGGTTAAAGCGTCCCGTCCAAGACCCGGGCTCGATTCCCCACATGGGTAAAATGTGTGGAGCCCATTTATGGTGTCCCCCGCCGTGATATTGCTGGAATATTGCTAAAAGCGGCGTAAAACCTTATTCACTCACTCACACGTGCGTGTGTTTTGGCACATTACAAAGTAAAACCGAGTTCATCAAACGTTGACGAAGACGTCTTTGTATGTGACGGTTGGCGGCATTTCAGTCATTGAGGTCGTAAAACATTGGACCGCATCTGTCAACCATTGGCCAAAATGATTGCAAGACCCAAGATTGGAACCAGGATGTCTGTAGATTGCACCTTGAGGAACAGATTCCGGCAGCTGAAGCACAAGCCCTTGTGTCTTTGCGAGATGTAAAGATTAAAAAGTTTTTGAGACCCCCCGACTCGAAATACTTCACAGTATAATACCTCATGATGGTTAACGCGTCGGCTCGTCACGCTGACGACCCGGGTTCGAGTCCCCACATAGGGGCAATGTGTGAGGCCCATTTATGGTGTCCCCGCCGTGATATTGCTGGAATATTGCTAGGGACGGCGTAAATCCCAACTCACTCACTCACTCTAATGTCGGAGTGGCTCATGGAACACTCTCCGAGAAATTTGGTTTTGAAATTACTTGTGTCACATATGGGTATCTCTTTTTTGGAGAGGATATTTTAAGCATTCTGTTTAATCAGCTTTCGTCGTATATTCGGTTTGTCATTTAAAGAAATAACGTTTACACTGTTACAAATCTGGATCTGTTAATTATCTTTCGCTCGTCAACAGCTAAAATTCCCACCACTTCGTCGACGGCCCGCACTACACAGGGTGCGACTGTTACAACAAAACAATCAGGCATCACACCAACAACGGTGACAACACCAACTCCAACGGATCGCATGACATGTGAGTACACAGTAGGATAACTTAGCTTGTTTTTCACTTCCGAAATTATCCCCAGTGTGTCTCAGAAATATACAGGATATTGTCACGTAGTATTATTCGGAAGCATATTGTCGTTTGACTTTGTGAAGATCCGGGTGAACTGGTCTTTATTGTTTTTAGTCCCATGTGACAGTGGTAGCAACCCATGCTTGTCTCACCCGTGAAGATCCGGGTTAGAACTGGTCTTCAGCAACCCATGCTTGTCTCCCCGTGAAGATCCGGGTTAGAACTGGTCTTCAGCAACCCATGCTTGTCTCCCCGTGAAGATCCGGGTTAGAACTGGTCTTCAGCAACCCATGCTTGTCTCCCCGTGAAGATCCGGGTTAGAACTGGTCTTCAGCAACCCATGCTTGTCTCCCCGTGAAGATCCGGGTTAGAACTGGTGTTCAGCAACCCATGCTTGTCTCCCCGTGAAGATCCGGGTTAGAACTGGTGTTCAGCAACCCATGCTTGTCTCCCCGTGAAGAGCCGGGTTAGAACTGGTGTTCAGCAACCCATGCTTGTCTCCCCGTGAAGATCCGGGTTAGAACTGGTCTTCAGCAACCCATGCTTGTCTCCCCGTGAAGATCCGTTAGAAGAAACTCATGTTTGTCCGGAAGTTAGAACTGGTCTTCAGCAACCCATGCTTGTCTCCCCGTGAAGATCCGGGTTAGAACTGGTCTTCAGCAACCCATGCTTGTCTCCCCGTGAAGATCCGGGTTAGAACTGGTCTTCAGCAACCCATGCTTGTCTCCCCGTGAAGATCCGGGTTAGAACTGGTCTTCAGCAACCCATGCTTGTCTCCCCGTGAAGATCCGGGTTAGAACTGGTCTTCAGCAAACTCATGTTTGTCTCCCCGTGAAGATCCGGCTTAGAATATGTCTAGAATATGCATTTATGTGTCACAGCAGTGTGGGTATGCGACAGTGCAAAGAGCATGTCACGGTACGTGAACGTCCTGTGGGGGTACGTAACTCCCAAGACATTCAAAGTTAAAGAATTTAAGCTTACCAGATTTTTAGACGTGGTATATTTGTGATTATCTTGCCTCACACATAAATGTCGTTTTCTGATTGGCTGAGCGCTCTTCTATTATTTTCAATGTACCCCGCTTACAAGCGAGTAACATTTTCTGTGTACCCCGCTGGGTATGCCGAACTCATTTGGTACTTCGTAGTAGTAATTCTTTATCTAGAATAACATTGAATCACGTTTGATGTACGGAAATTACCGATGTTTTGTGAATGCAAATCGATGGAAGGGGATAACTCTAAGTTTGTTTTCTTGTCGTCGAAACCCGTGCTTCAAACAGTTAAAAATTACCATTGAGGTGTTCGGCAAGATAAATACGTTGTTCAGGGTTCAGGGAACATAAACAAACGTCGAGGGTACATCAACCCATGTCCCCCTCGAGACCAGTGAACAACTTAGATTGTAAATGATGGCTAAATTTGACTACAATCGCTAGCGACTGAAGGGATGTTGTAAATCCAGCTAGGGCCCTGACAGGTATAGCAAAAGTACTGTAAGTCCCCATCAACCTTCAGTTCCTGGGGATATCCAGTCCGTTTTTATATTGTATTATCCTCAATAGTTGTTTAATTTTAAAGTTACATGCTAGTTTTAATTGTTTTCTGTGATTATCTAGTTATTTTACTGTCCTGTTTTTTATAATTAACTGTATTTATCATGAATGTATAACGTTTTAGTCACGATATATATAGCTGAAATATTGCCGATGTGACTATAGATCCTCACTCACTCACTCGAACGTGACAGTGGTAGAAGTATGTGAGAGTAATTTAAATATGAGACGGTTCTGTCTGTACCTGAGAGCTATTTTTATGTAAAACTTGTGTTAGTTCCTACCAATGGTTTTAATGTGTGATTGGTTAGTGCAAGACGTAAATTGATACTGACTTCATATACATTTGTCTCTAATTGAAGAGTTGGAAGAAATACTGCCATTTGCGAGTTTGAGTATAGATCGAGTGGTCTATCCTTGAGTGTATCTAATGTTTAGTTTGATCGCTTCGTCCCCTCATCGGCCATTTGGTCATAGCTTTAGGATCTGAACAAATTAATTCTAATTTACTCTATGTAGACCGCCGTTTCCTGTGTCGATCCTCTTCCTCGTCATACCGAAATACAAACCCGATTGTGTCGAACGCGTCGGGACCAAGGGAACAGTTCGACTTATCAGAGTGTTCGACACATCCGTCAGCATAGAAATAATGATAATCTAAGGAAATTGGCAGGGACCGAGAGATGAGTTCGACACAACCGAGAATTCGTCTCAACCGAGTTCGAGACATTGGGGTTCGAAACATTGTACGTTAAAAGATGGTACTTGTTGTTGCCCTGCCCTGCAGTTATAAAGGACTGGTCGGACTGGTGTGTCAGAGGGGTAGCCATGTAACGTCATGGTCTCTCAGTGGGCAGTGAAAAGGAACCCATATGGTTCTGGATTATGCTGGCTGGCAATAGAAAATATGCACGTATGTGTGATGGCGGCTAAAAGTGAGACAGGAAAATCAATGATCCACACCGTGCCACATACACACAGCGCACACACACACACACACACACACGCACTCACACACACACACGTACGCACGCACGCGTACAAACACGCGTACGATCGCACGCATGCGCACACATGCACGCATTCACACATGCTTACGTTCGTATGCATGCTCACGCACGCACGGACACACAGATGACGATTTTTATATTATATTATGATGCCACGTTTAGAGTCTTATACCGTTGTCAAGCGAGACGTTTATAAGCTGTGTGAATTATAAGTACCCTACCTTTCTGACCGCACGTGAGCTTCTGAAATGCCAATCAAACAGATAATGAACGCGGTATTCAACTCCATCGTCAGATCGTCGTAATGGTGCTTTGATGTTGACGGTGACAGCATTATACCCCTTGAACTCCTGCCTCGTTGTCAACGACGTTTAGATATGTTGCGTTGCACAGTGAGCCCTGGGACCATGACGTCATTCCATTGTCTCGTTCCAGCACCACTAACAAGTCACGACATTTCATCAACGACCAACGAAGAGGCGTCTTCACCATCGACCATCACCATGAATGAAGCTTCAAACATGTCAACAACGTCTGTGTCTACGTTACCATCAGCAGCAATGACAGCAACCACAAGTGTTACGACAACGACAAAGACACCAAGTACGTCTTCATTCAGAACATTCATTAATGAAGTGTATACTACACCACTATTGATAAGGATATATTTACCTTTGCATGAAACACACACCTGGTTCTGATAATATGTCAAGTGTATGTCTAAATATAATGAGTGAGTGAGTTTAGTTTTACGCCGCACTCAGCAATATTCCAGCTATAGGGCGGCGGTCTGTAAATAATCAAGTCTGGACCAGACAATCCAGTGATGAACAGCATGGACATCGATCTGCGCAAAGGGGAATCGATGACATGTGTCAACCTAAATAGAATGAAACATCTCCCTATGAAATGTTGAATAGTATAAAATAGTTATAAATGCACATCCAGAAAACGCTCAAGAACATGTATGTATAATTACGGATAATAATATGAGATGATACACATGTAGTTTATACACTGTCCCAGCTGCACAGCGACTGCTTGAGCATAGTTATGTCCCTTTGTTGCGTGAGGATCCGATATCGTATATCTTACGTTCCTCCTCCTTAGGTCTGATATTTCATTTGTACCATTCCCTACCAAAAGAGGCAAAAATTTAGATTCCATGTCAATTTTGGCCTACTCTAGATCAGTGGATATAAAGTTTTAACCCCATCCTCCTAAATAAATAAATCTAAAAATTAATAAAAAAAAAACTCAAAAAAAAAAAATCATACAAATAAAAAAGAATAAATATAGTTCCTCTCCTGTTTTCAGCTATCCATATGAGCAGCACGGCGACCTCTATCGGTACTGATGCCGCAAAACTGACATGCGCAGTGAAATTTGTCGACGTTTGGAACTACCTCCTCGTTGTACACGATACTCCCACCGAGGTGGTCCCAATTATCACCCTTAATCCGAATGGGAGTTATTCAATGGCTAAGGAGGACATCAAATCCAATTTGATTGTCACGGTCGACGCCAGAGACGAGAGTGTAATTTTGACCTTGACATTCAAAAACGTCTCGTGTAGTGACGAGGGGAATTACGCCTGCACATTGTTCACTTCCGAGGATATGTACACTGCGCATGGGCTGTTGGAGATCGTAAGTAAGTAGAAGGCGTACGTAAGAGAGTGAGGCATCTGTTTAAAAGGAAATCAATTCTTCCAATCTTCTTGAAGGTCCAATTTTAAAGCCAGGGCACTCTTGCACAAAGCGGTCTTAGAACTACGATGATCGTAACTACCACACTCTAATATTGACTTAAGGGAGTCGTAGCGCAAAGTTCGCTTTGTGCAAGTTGGTCCAGATCGAGATGCTGCAATTACTTGGTTTGGTGACGTAAGGTAAAGTGAAACGAAATTTAACGTTCAGCGTTGAGTAAGTGGGAAGGTGTATTGGTGGATGGATGTGAGTGAGTGAGTGAGTGAGTGTGCGTGCGTGCGTGCGTGCGTGCGTGCGCGCGTGCGTGAGTGAGTGAGTGGATTGGTCGGTGGTTGTGTGCTTGGGTGAGTGAGTCTTCGGGTAGATTCATTGGATGGTTTCTGTGTGGTCGGGCGAGTAAGTGTGCGGGTGGATTGGTGGGTGTCTGAGTATCTGGGTGAGTGAGTGAGTGAGAGGTGGGTTGTTTGAGCGAGTAAATGAGCAAGGGAGGGAGCGAAAAATAGTGTTGAATTTACTTAATTGATTCTGTAAACTGTCATAGCTTGTCCCCCCACCTATATTTTATTCAGATGATACCTGGTAGGTACAATACCCTACCGTAACCATACAACAACTACCTCCTGTTTACAAGAATGGGTGGGGTAGCCTAGTAGCTAAAGCATCCGCTGGTCACGCTGAAGACGGGTTCGATTCTCCACATGGGTACAACGTATGAAACCCATTTCCTGTGACCCCGTCGTGATATTGCTGAAATATTGCGAAAAATGGCGTTAAACCAAACTCACTCACACCTGTTTACCGACTGAAATTGTATTTTCTCTTGACAGACATCCCCACGCAGCCTCGTCTTAGTCTTCCAGTTGAGCTGATTTCAAACCGTAAAATCAAGGAACCAATTAGTTGCGTTGGCAACGTTGGTTACCCAGAAGGCTTTCTGTTTCTGCAAATGAAGTCCAAATCTTCACCTCATTTCACTACACTTCCGGCCCACGTGACCTACGACCGCCGGGAATGTCACGTGACAGCGACAGCCCAGCTGACAGGTTTCTCCCCAACGTTGGAAGCCAATGGAACTATCATTCGTTGTGCGATAGAAAACAGTCGTCTGCTGTCCCGTGACGATGACGTGTCCACTGCTGCCGTCATGGCGGTACTGCCAGGTAATAAATGTCAAACCATATTTAACCTTTGTCCATCGTCCATTGTCCAGTTCAATCTTCGATATCGGTCTGAACCTAGATTAGACTAAGGGTAGAAATAGCCTCCCAGAGAACGGTCACGTTGTCTGGACGTTGTGGCAATGTTACGTTAATGCAACCTGATTCTGCTGATGTCCAGTAACGTTGTGGAAACGTTGTATGTTACATCGTGGGTAACGTCGTGTTCAACGTTGAAAAAAATCATGAAAAATATATATCTGCTTGATACATTGTTCATTGATGACTAAAGTGAAAAAACTCACATCCTCAACATCGTAACCCAAGCTTGTCGTAAGAAGCGATCAGGCTCGCTGACTTGGTTGACACATGTCATCGGTTCCCAATTGCGTAGATCGATGCTCATGCTGTTGATCACTGGATTGTCTTGTCCAGACTCGATTATTTTCAGACCGCCGCCATATAGCTGGAATATTGCTGAGTGCGGCGTAAAACTAAACTCACTCACTCATCATCGTCGCCATTGTATCCATTATCATCTTTCGCCTCCTATGTTGATGAGGGGCAGGGATGGCCCAGCCGCGTGAAGTACCACGATTCACAGACATCTATTATTGATGGTTTCTGTCCCATATTCGCCGTGATTGTGTATCTAGTTTTATCAGTGTTCCATAAACCTACTTGAGGCTGTCATCAAATCGGGAGGACAAGCTTAGACTACTGTAGAACTATATATGTCCGTCTATATGTCGGTCTATGTCCCACTTCGTCACGATATGGCTGAAATATTGCCGATGTGACGTTAAATAGTAACTCACTCACTCACTATGTCCCACTGGTTACGAACCGAGTTAGAACCGGTTTTCAGTAACGCACGCACGTCGTAAAATGCCACAAACGGGATCGGGATGTCGGGCTCGCTGACTTATTTGACACGTCATCGTATTCAATGCTCATGATGTCAATCACTGGATTGTCTAGTCAAGACCATTATTTACAGACCGCCGTCATATAGCTGGCATGTTGCCGAGTGCGGCGTTAAACAACAAACAAATAAATCCGGTGATTGACACACGATCTTTCGTCATGAGAGACACAAATCGTTGGCGCAAAACTCCCATAGCACGTTATAAACAAATACGCGCCTGTGAAATCAATATCTGGCTAGACCTTCAATGTAGATCCTTGTCGCTATACACGAGGTAATGATGAAGAGAGACGCTGTAATCCGCCTGTCTCATTCCATCGACTGAGTCAACGGGCATGTGTATTTTAGCAATTGAATCCTTTCCGAGGTGTTTGTTCGTATATTCTCTCTATGTGAATGTTTGTAGAAGAGAATGATACAGAAAATGACCTCTGTTATCAATGATTTTCGAGTGTCCTTTTCATAAAAGTTTCACAGTCAGGTTGCCCTTGACGCCAAATGGAATCAGTTTCCGTGGGTTGTCAAGACAGGTTGTCCTCATGCAGTGACGTTTTATATTAACTGGTGTAAGCGTTCGGAAAGGCATCCTCGAGTGTGTTTACAGGTTAACGCTCAAGGGCGATATGAACTTCCAACGTTCGAGACCTCACCGACTGAAAGCTTTGGAATATCGACAGGGATGGGCGCCAAGTGGCTTACACAATGTAGGCTGCGGATTTTTCAGAGGTGCTAACCCTTTTCAGCTCCAAATAGTAACTTTCCTGGGTAAAATAGTATTTTAGGAAGACTAATAGTAACACATTTCACGATGGACATGTTTTAAAAAGTAAGATCATGCCGTTTAGCATATATGGGGGTAGGTGAGTAAAACTGTAGCAGTGAGTTAAACACGTCGTGAAGATCTGGGTTAGAAAAGATCTTCAGCAACCCATGCTTGTCGTAAGAGGCGTCGGATGGTCTTGGTTGATTAATATCATCGTATCCCAGTTGTGTAGATTGATGCTCATGCTGTTGATCACTGGATTGTCTGGTCCGCTGCCATATAGCTGGATGCGGCGTAAAACTAAACGCACTCACTCTAAAAAATAATATCAAATAATTGCATGCAAAAAAATTCAGAATTCTCAACGAAAATATTATCCTGTGTTTGGTTGAAATAACTTCCACAGCTGTGTGTCATCTGCATAGAAGTGGTCAAGATTAAGGTTTGCTGCAACAGAGCCAAGTGGAACAGTGTAGAGGGTGAAGAGGATCGGACCAAGCACGGATCCTTGAGGGACTCCGCACTCAAGCCTAGATGCGGTTGACACATACTCACCAACAGCAACGGTTTGAGTCCTGTCCTGTAGATAGATGCCAGCCAGGATAAAACTGAATCCAAGTTCTGTATCAAGGATTTTGAGGAGTCTCTGGTGATCAGTCGTGTCAAAGGCACTGCTTAGGCCAAGTAATGTGAGGTGAGGTGAAATTGGGTTTAAAATCGTGCTTGAGAATATTTCGCTCATATGACGACGTGCATGCGTGTGTATGTGTATGTGCGGCTGCTTGTACTAGCCCAGACTGAAGCTGGTTTTATAGTGCTAGCCCACTGAGATACCATGCCGCAGTGAAGCATGAATACCCCACTCAGACACATTATACTGCCTCCGAGCCGACCAGTCCTTGTTGTACCCATTAATGCCGAGCGCCAGGCAGGGACCAACAAGTACCATATTTTAACGTCTTTTGGTATGACGCGGTCGGGGATCGAACCAGCGACCTTCCGCTCTAACCACTACACCACGGAGGCGGTCGCCAAGTAATGTGAGCAGGGCCACTTGTCCTGTGTCAATACCACATCGTAGGTCATTCGGGATCTTCAGCAGGGCCGTCTCTGTGCTGTGGTGTGCTCTGCAGGCTGATAGGAACACCTCATAGAGGTTATGCCAGGAAAGGTGGCCCATGAGACGACTGGAGACTGCACGTTCAATGAGTTTGGATATAAATGCTAAGTTTGAAACAGGCCTGTAGTTTTTGGATCCTCCTAATCAAGGCTTGATTTCTTCAGATGTGGCCTAACTAGAGCTGACTTGAGTACACTTGGGACATAACCAGATGAGGTAGAAGAGTTAATAATCAGCACTAATGTTGGTAAATATCAGTGAAACTATCAATATGAATAAGAGGCGTGCCATCAAACATTTTTGGAGGAATATCAGCTTCATCCACAGCCGCAGAAGACGAAATCTTGTCATGAATGTTCTTGGATCTTTTTGTAGAAATAATCCGAAAATGTTCATTGTCATCAGATGTCGGAAGTGTCGATTCAAAGTGTTTACTCAAGATACTGAACAAAAGTTTGAACAGCAACTTTGGACTTGACTCGGCTTCAATCTTAGAATTGAGATGTTGATTTGTCTGATGACCGTTCTTGAGTGATTTTTGGCTGAAATATACATTTGGAGATGAATCTCCAGGAAAGATTGGTTTCCATCTGCGTTCTGCCTTCCTCTTGTCTTTTTCGCTTGTCGAACTTCAGGTGTGAAGTCCCAAGCAGATGTTTTAGTCACTGGTATGACTCTGTCCTTCACTGGTACATGTTTGTCTATATAGCAGCTCAGATAGAACTCTATTGTATAGCAGAACGAGACTCTCAGCATCAGATGGTGGCTCAAGTATAAGGTCTGAGTTTAGCAAATTGTCTTTAAAAGTATCCATATCCAGGGAGCGCATGTTCCTACAGCGAGTAATCTTCACATTTGGACTGGGTATTGAGAGGTCCAAGCTCACAAATATATGGAAATGGTCAGAGAGCTGTAGATCCTATACAGATACACAACTGACACCCGCGTCTGAAGCACGGGTAACTATCCAGTCCAGAGTGTGTCCACCTCTGTGGCTTGCCTCTGACACGAGTTGTACACAGTTGTGGACTTCAAGAAGATTAAGTATTCGTTTAGTGCCATGGTTATCCTTGTTGTCAAAATGGAAATTGAAGTCGCGTACGATGATAAGAGCTACTTCGTCAACTTATCCAGTCTGTGCCGAGACGGTGCCGAGCAGTAATTGCTGCCAATGATGGCCATACAAAGAACTGACTTTGACGCCATCTTGTGGACTCAAGAGAACAGAAACACAACAGTAAAGGCTTTGTCTATAGACGTTTGAATTTTCACCTTTTTACCATTGGGATTACATGAAATAATAGCTCTTAAACTTATGCAAGAAATTCTTCTAAAAAATGGCTTGTGCGTTTCTTTTTTTGAAGAGTATATTTCTGGATCGCAGTTTCATGTAAAGACCTTCTATAGTTGATAAACAGGGTAAAAAGTATATTACTTTTTCATATTGTACTAGTTCTATACAAAATATATGCCTTGTGAAGAAATGGGGTTTTTATTCATCATTATAACTTTTAGAGCTAAAAATGACTCTTTAATGTAAATTTAAGACTAAAATCAAACTAAAAAGATCTGGTGACTTACAGCATTTGAGAAATATATTCCGTAACCAAATATGCATGGTATTTGATATTAAAACCATTGTTTTGTTCCGAGTTTTTGCAACTTTTTCAGTTCCCGGTTAAATTTTGGCGGCCATCTTGGATTTTGAGCTAAAAATAGCTTTCGCATCAATATTCAGATTGGAACCAAACATTTTTTTAAACTCCTTTAACATATAAACACAAAATAAGAATATATGATTTGCTTAATTATGCATCAAAAAGGGTGGTGGGGTAGCCTAGTGGTTAAAGCACGCCGAATTCCCATACAGCTCCTTTCTGACTAATATTGCTAAGGATGAAACTAACCCTAACAAAAGTACTAGAATCTGTACTTTACTGAGAATCTGTACATAACATATGTCACATCAATTATTTTATCCATTAACTCCAAAAGTCTTTGGTTTTGCTGTTATTAATATAGAGTATTAGGACAACTAGGAATGGTCCATGCTAGTCTCATGTGACTTGTCAACTCCACTGTTCAACACATAGGAGTCAACTAACGGGATCGGGTGGTCAGGCTCGCTGAAGTGGTTAACACATGTCATCGTATTCTAGTTGCGTAGATCGAAGCTGATCATGTTGATCACT